TCAGCCTCCTGAGTAGCTGGGACTACAGATGCATGCCACCATTCCTGGCTAATTTTTGTATTTTTAATAGAGACAGTGTTTCACCATATTGGCCAGGTTGGTTTCAAACTCCTGACCCCAGGTGATCCACCCCGATCAGCCTCCCAAAGTGCTGGTACAGGTGTGAGCCACCGTGTCCGGCCAAAGTCTCCTTTTTTTTTCTTTTTTTTTTTGAGACACTGTGTCACCCAGGCTGGAGTACAGGGGTACAAACAGGCTCACTGCAACCTCTGCAACTTGGGTTCAAGCAATTCTTGTGCCTCCTGGGTAGCTGTGATTACAGGCGTGTGCCATCACGCCCTGTCTTTTATTTTTATTTTTTATTTTTAGTACAGATGGGTTTTCACCATGTTGGCCAGGCTGATCTCGAACTCCTGGCCTCAAGTAATCCACCTGCCTCAGCCTCCCAAAGTGCTGAGGTTACAATGTGAGCCACTGCGCATGGCCGAGAAGGCTGCTTTTTTAAACAAAAGGCTTATCTCGTGGGAAGTCAGTAGGAGAGCCAGGGATGGGGAAGCAGTTCTGGCACTAGATCAGCAATGGCAGTTTCTCGGGTCACAGCTGTGTGAGGTCTGTGCTCTCAGCCTTGGGTTCTGAAGTGTAAGCTTTTGGTTAAGACAGTGGGGAGATAGGGGACTTGGGCTCTGGTCCAGCTCCATACCATGCCAGCTGTATGATGGAGCTCCTCTCAGAGCCTAATGCCACCTTGAGTTCTACCCATCTTGCAGAGCTGTGGGGCTCAGAAGAGAAGGACTCCATCTTTGGAGAGCATCTTGGTGTTCAACATGCTTTCACTCTTCAGCCTCCTTAGAGGGGGCCAGTAGTTGGAGAAAATGAGGATTGGATAATGCTAAGCTCCCTACCTAAAGTTCGCAGTGGAACCAGGATTCAGACCCACTAGAGGGCACCCTGAAAGTGCTTGGAGGATAGAACAGTGCCATCTGTGTGGCAGCTAGCCTTCAACACTAGAATCCTAGTGACCTTAAGAGGATGACACCTAGCAGAGCTATAGGAAGGAAGACAATACACCTGTTTTCTTACTTCCTGGAGATGTAAAACCTATAGGCAGAGGCCTAGTCATAGGCAAAAGATGACTCGCCTGAACCTCCCTGTTCTTCTTATATCCTTTCCCTGCTATCTCTACATTGGGTACCTAATGACCTTGCTGGGAAGAAGGCCATGTCTGATATATACCAAGGTCTTGATACCACTGGCTACCCTTACCATGACCTTGACATGAGAAGTCTACCAAGGTTAACATTTCAGGGGTGGTGGCACCTGGGAGGGAAGACTGTATGGGGCACCTTGAGTCCTGTTCATGTCATTCCTGGCATGATTTAAGTGAAGTCTAATTGCTGATTGTATGAGCAGCCACCCATTCTCTGTTATTACTTTATGTGTCTTCCAACAGCTGCTTCTATACTGGGCTTCCGATCCCAGCGTGCAGGTACAGGTGTGAGCCACCGTGTCACACTTGTGAGGAGTTAGTTCTGTGTAGCCCCAGTGGGAGCCCCCCCATGGGAGGGGCTTCCACAGCCGTTGTTTGGGCAGGGCCAATGCAACTTGTTGGGCACCAAGACCATCTATGAGTCCAGGACCAGCACCTTACTTGGTGTACTTACCAACATCCTCGAAAGTATATTCCATTTCTGCAGGATAGGAGAATGGTTTCCCATCTGCACCCACGCTCAGTATATAGTTCACGTGGAGGACATAGTAGGTTTCATTCCTGTTCATGTACTAGAAGACATCACAGGAACAGTCTGCAAGTGATGGATAGAGCAAAAATAAGTAATTCAAAATCTAAGCTGTTAGAACCTTAAAACATTTTGAGCCTTAAGGGAATGTGATTATAGGACCTGAGCCACAGAAACATACATGCAGCTGTAACCTTTGTTTCTGATTACAGATTGGTCATTTTTCTTACCTACACTTTTGTAAAATGTTGTAAACGACTAAAGGGTGCCAGGGAAGACCACTTCCCTCTTAACTGTTGATATTTGGTACAGACTAACTTCCCTCTTTCCTCTTCCACACAAAGACTTCGTGGCTATGGGATTGTCTAAGATGGAATGTTAACTACTCTTAAATTGGAAAGGAAATGAAAACAAGCTGTAAAGAAAACAAGCTTATTTAAAAGAAAACAAACTAAATTGTAACTCATACAGTAGCCTTGTACAGAAAATGATAAAATCCTACTAAATTTCTTTTTTGCCTATATAAGCAAGACCTTAACTTTTAACTTTGGAGCACTTACTCCATTTCTCTGAAGTCTGTTTCCTGTATGATCATTCCCAGCTTTTTGCTTGAATAAACTCTTTAAAACTGGATTCTGATCCTTTCAATTATTTCAGGTTGAAAATAGCTTAGAGCCATGCTGAGCAAAAGGCTGCTGAATTTACAAAGCTACTTCTGGGTAGTGACCCTAGCACAGTCTCCTACCCCCTTACAGCATCTGCTCAGGCTGGACAGCATAGCAGAGTAGGCCCTGTCCTTGTGTGCCCACCACCTGGATGGGGGGGCTTGAGACCTCAATCCGATGAGGATGTCCACTCTGGTCACGCACTTGAGTGGCTACTGGTCTCTCCTTTACAGCGTTTCAAACTGCTCCAGCCTGCCAAGCTAGATTAGATAAGACATGCTCATGTAATTTAATGACCTGTGAGGGTGGGGTGGGTGAGAGCTCTGCCTATGAAGTATGTTACCTGCCCAGCAGGTAACACTATCTGGTAAGCTGTCTGCTGGGCAGAGGATCTGTCCAAACTGACAGCTTCTTACATGGACATGAGCACTAGCTTACCTCCTTAATCACATTTGTGTCATCAGGGACACTTCAAGCACAAACCCTTGTGTTCCATCTGGAAAGGGAATTTCCCAAATCTTATACCCAGGTTCATCCACTTCTGAAATAGGATAGGGCACAGTTCTGATCCCTATTGCCACTAACTGGTCACCAGGGAAGACAGCTCCAAAGGTGATGCTGAAGAGTCTTGCCCAGGGACTATGTCTGTTGGAAGTTCTCATCTGTTACAGGCCTGTGGTTTACCAGCAACAGACTCTCCCAGTCTCCCTTAATTAAGTCTTCAGAGCTAAGAGCATCCTGTTTTCTCTTTCATGTGAAGGGACTAGAAAGGACTAGGGGTGTCTGTGTCCTTTGATAATCTTCTCCCCTATCCCCTCAAAGATGCTCTTGTCTCTTAAATAGTCAATTCTTCCTTAGCCAGTAACTCAAGAACAAGGCCGAGTGGGGAGCCACAGGAAGGATGGGATCAGCGAGGGCCATTGTGAGAACATAAGCCCATTCATAAACCCGAGGGCAACCAAGCAGCATGGGTCAAGAATTGTCAGCCATTCCTCATGCAAATAACCACTAACATACTAGCCTTTCCATCCCAGGTTAGAGTGCAATTTACCCAGCTTTGTCCCTTTGTATGTTGGCTTAAGTAGCTGAACATAAAAAAATAAGCTCGCATGTGAGGGCTAACCACAGTCTTTTTGTGTAGATTATAGGCTCATGGAGGTCAAAAGAATCCTTACTACTGTTGTCTCTCCTCAGGACCGAAAGTTATCCAATCACATGAGAGTCTGAATGATAGTTCTTTTTCCCCCTGCTGGGAGACAGAGTCTTGCTCTGTTGCCCAGGCTGGAGTGCAGTGGCATGATCTCAACTCACTGCAACCTCCGCCTCCTGGGTTCAAGTGATTCTCCTGCCTCAGCCTCCTGAGTAGCTGGGATTACAGGCGTGTACCACCAAATCCAGCTAATGTCTGTATTTTTTAATAGAGATGGGGTTTCACCATGCTGGCCAGGCTGGTCTCAAACTCCTGACCTCAGGTGAACTGCCTGCCTCAGTCTCCCAAAGTGTTGGGATTACAGGCATGAGCCACTGTACCCAGCCTGAATAATAGTTCTAAAGGAATGTCTATATCATGTTTTTAAGCTTTATTTAGATGATAGGCTAGAAAGTTGATGTTCTGAAGCTTTTACTTCTAAATATCAAGATCATACTTTTGACAGAAGTCTGAATCCACGTACCCAGCCCTTAGTTACAGCCTACAAGTGATCAGAACTCAAACTGAATCAGTCTATGGGCATATTGAGGCCTAAAGGTCGAAGCTGGCCCAGATGGGATGGGCTGTACTTGCTAAAACTTGAGCCTCTATGCCAAGTCAGTATTCCTGCTGTGCACACTAAGATGTAGCAGGCACTCTCCCCATGGTCCTCTCTGGGGCTTAGTTCACACCAAAGGATCATCCTAAGCCTGCATGCCTTCAGCTAAAGTGGCAGGGAACATAGTAACACTGAACCTTGTGGGCATGAAAGGCGTTCTGTTTTGACTACCATCAACTTGGTCACATGCCAATCAGTGACCACCTGTGCTCCAAGAGTAGGTGGATGCTCTAGCTTGCACCACAGACACCATGATGTCACTCTAGGAGAAACAAAGAGGCAGCAGATGAGAGGTGCACTGTGGATGAGGCACTTCGCCAACTGCCTTCCCTAGAAAACCATCGCTGGCCACCCAGTTGGGATTGAGACAAATTTCTAGCTGGAGTTACAGTTGTGATGTTATACCACCCCATGAGATCACACCTGGGTCCTACCCAGGGGCATTCTTTAGAGAGAGGCGGGTATCGAGTTACGTTAAAACCTAGAGAAGACGATAGAGGAGTTGAGATGAAATAAACTTCCTGTAAGACCAGATGCCTCAATCCTGAAAACATTCATCTATTTGCTCCCACATTCATCTATTTGCTCCCTGGGACATGGCCATTTTGGTTAGAACTGCTCATAAAGATAAAAGCAGGCTTAAGCTATTTGACCAAGCTGAGATTACTTTTGCATCAACCTAATAGTAATCTGTGCTCAGAGCTCACAAATGTCAGTTAAAGAATGTCCTCCTGATCTGTCTCCTCTCTCGCTCTCCCAAGGGTTAGAGTAGGGTAGAAGAAACTCACCCAGGTGACTTCAGCCTCGTTGCTGGAGTAGGGCTAATGCAGGAACATGCAGACCCCAGAGCTGTTGAAGCCATAGCCCAGATCGGCCACGTGGATCACCAGCATAACCTTCCTCCCTGTGGGATGCTGGAACACCAACTGCTACAGCTTGTAAGTGGTTCCTGAGCCTGGCAGACAGAAGCAGGGTTGACCATGCAATCAAGTTTGAGATCTAAGGAGTTGAATGCAAGGCAGGAAAAAGGGACTTGTTCACTCACTTGTTCTTACAAAAAAGAGGTACTTGCTTCTCTCACCTCCTCTCAAATGTAAGGCAACCAGATCTTTTACTAAGTTGATAAGAGAACACTAAAAGGCCCAAAGATCAAGGCTGACTGGAATCTCCCCCCAAAAATACTAGACACAGGGCCACTGCTTGGAGTCATGCAGGCTGTACAAGCTTGTGTATTCACAAGCTGTGAGTACACAGCTGTACTCAGCAGCCCTCACTGTCCCTCTACCCCCTGGCTCGGTGTGAGCAGGGATCAGAGGACAGGACTGGCAGAAGAGGCTCCCAGTTGGAGGCAAGACTGGCAAAGACAGGGGCACCTCCCCAGGTAGGCAAGATGAGACAGGTGGGGCTCCTGTCTCCAGGATCTCAATAGGCTACAGGGAATTTGAAGACTGTGATGTCGCCTACAGGCTACCTGCAACTGTATGGGAGTGGTGGGCAGGTCCATCTGGGCTGGCCAGGGATTGCTTGGTCAGTCCTCAGTCCTACCATGGGGAGTGCATCCAGCCAACGCTGATATCCATTGCTTAGGGTCCCGGGCTTCACAAACCACGAGCACTTTGATCCTCACAGACACCTGCCAACAAGCAGGCTCTTCATGCAGCTCTGTCTGCTGACTCCCCTCCCCTCTTCCATTTACGAGGGTCTTAGCCTCTCCTTTAGGCTCCCTCCACTACATGGTTGTAAATGCAGTTTCCCAGGACCTGGTCCAGCAGATAACCACACAGACCCAGTTACATCTCCTGGAGCAGGGATGCAGCCTAAAGATCGCATCATTAATAGGAATGGCCTTTCTTATTGGGACCAAGGTTCTCCTGAGATATCCTAAGGGCCGAGGACCCGGTTAGGGCACCAGCTTTGATGCTACTTCTGAGCCCAGGGCAACAGCAATGAGCCACATGGTTGAGTGATGACTGTGTGCAGCCCACCTACCTTTAGGCCTCTGTTGCTTTGCCTGAAACACTCCCCTGCCAACCTAAATCAAGACTTGAAGTTGTATTTTTAATTGACTCATAGAAACTATACATATTTATGGGGTACAGTGTGAAGTTTACAATGTGCAATGATCCAGTCAGGGTAATGTATATCCATCACCTCAAACCTTTATCATTTCTTTGTGGTAAGAGCATTCAAAATCCTCTTATATAATTATAAATATACAATATACTATTGTTAACCATAGTCACCCTACTGTACAATAGAACATTAGAACTTATTCCTCCTAACTGTAATTTTGGACCTTTTAACCTCTCTCCTACACTTCCCAGCCTCCTGGAACCACTATTCTATAGTTTCTACTTCTGAGATCAGCTTTTTCAGATTCCACAAATGAGTAGGGTCATGTGGTATTTGTCTTTCTGTACCCAGCTTGTTTCACTTAACATAGTGACCTCCAGGTTCATCCACGTTGCTGCAAGGGACAGGATTTCATTTTTTTAAAAAGTGGCTGAATGGTATTCCTGTGTGTATGTGTGTGTATCTAATATATCTATCTCACATTTTATCATTTTATCCATTCATGGGACGGAGGGGCACTTAGGTGGATTCCATCTCATTGTGAAGAGTGCTGCAATCACCATAGGAGTGCAGAGATCTCTTCGACATTCTGATTTCCTTTCCTTTTAACTTAATCAGATCTTGTTTCCAGAAAAGGGTCTATTTTATGGCTGATAAGGCTTAAGTACTAAGGGACTTGGTTCCATGAAAATATCAAGTGTGGCCTCACTTCATAGAATGAAGGAGGTAGTTTTGGCCCCAGGAGACCCGGCATTCTGGCTGGGGTTACCTGTGCTCACCTCCATGTAGTTCTCTTCAGAGAATCTCCCTCGAGGCCTGTGTGAAATATGGACAGGACACGGTATAGCTATAGGTGGTTTCTTCGCCAGGTTCCATGAACCCAGACACTTTGATGTTCACACTGAGGGAAAACCATATATTATCCTGGAAGACGGGCAAAAGAGCACCGAAGTCCCAGGGAAGACGAGGCAAGAATTGAATAGGGAGGTTTGGCTCAGTCCCACCTGGCTCAGTGGGACTGAGGTACAGGTCTCTGGTTAGTAGATAGATAGCTGGAGGTGTGCAGGGAAGGGAGCATGATGAAATAGAGCAGGTAGATGCACAGAAGAGACTCAGGATTTAGTGATCTGACGCTAATCTCACCTCTGTTCTGTTCACGTGCTCCTGCTAGCTCCTTACACCTTTGGACTCCTAAATCCAGGCATAGCTGGGGCTCCAATCTCCCTGTCCACCTTGCTGCCATTGTAGCCAGGTTAAACCCTGCTATCTCACCTGAGGCTCCTGATTGCTCTCACCCGCAGTTCTACCCCACACCTCACCTGAGTGCAACGTGCCTGCAGGCAGCTTCCTCTAAACTGCTATAGCGTTGGGCCTCCTGCCAGGCTTTGGCAGTCCCCAGCTGTCAGTTACAGCCAACTGGAAGTGCCTTTTTTTTTTGGTCCACTTTACAAAGGTGCTGTATTCATTAGAGGTCAACCCCAGCAAGGCAAAGATAGAATTGTGGTCTCTGCTCTTAGACACAAGAGGACTCTGCAGCTGTGAAGACAGCCTGTGCCAAACGGAAGCGATCTGCATCCAGGAGGGGATGCTGGATTCCCCAGATGTCCTCAGTGCTGAGGGCAGGGCCAGATTTCTTCCATATGAGTCTTGACACCTGTTTCCTGGGGCAGTTGAACAGGGCATCTCAGGAGCTTGCTCACCTGGTTGACCACATGACAGGCCAGTACAGCGGCCCTGAACACAGGGTTTCCCCAGGCGTCTTCAGACAACACGTAGCCACAGCGGGGGGCCACGGGGGTGGGACAGCTGGGCATCCAGGGGTCTGCAGTGGAAGGAGTATGGTCACCTGCCAGCCTGGAGGAGCCTGGAGGTCCTCAGAGTCCTTGGCACCAGGATCACCTAAGGCAATGGTGAGAGCTGATCCTAGGGAAGCAGACCCAGGGTGTCTCATGGCGGGTGGGGACGGGCAGATGGGTGGGAGAACCGATGCTGGGAGGCATGCTGTGGGGGGCGGCTGCTCGATTCTCTATCCTTGCTGGACCCCAGGCAGGCCTTTTTGGGTTGGGCGGGCTGGCAGGGAAACTGGGTGGGCTGGGGGCCAGGAGGTTGTTATGAGGACACTGGGCCGCAAAAACCCATGAGTCCTTCCCCTGTCACCAGTAACTTCCGCGTAGAAGTCTTTGTTGTCTAGAGAGCTTCATCCGGAAGATGCTGGCGGGGCAGCTGCTCTCCACAAACTTGTGAAGCCTGGGTCAGTTCAGGTCAGTTAGAGAAGGCGCGGCCCCTCCCTGCTGCCCTGTGGGAACTCCACGTTGGAAACAGGGGGGTTGGCGAGCACTTGCATCCCATCCTTCACTGACCTGGGCTGAGCGAGAGGGTCGCTTGGGGCCATGGCCACAGGGGCAGAAAGAAGAGCCTAGGTAGGAGAAGTGGGCAGGTTGGGCACGGCGAGGAGGAGGAGGAGGGGGCGGGGAGTGGGACGATTGGGCCACACCTGCCCTGCAAGCAAGGGGCCGCAGTGGGGACTCCACACCTGGGCTGCAGCGGGGCACGCGCTGACCGGGGCTTTATCCGAGAGGCCTGCCAGGTACTCCACTAGGTGTGGAAGCCTGGCCAGGTGCGCTCTGCCAGGATGAGCTGCACTTCACCCTGGCACCCCAGCCTTAAAACTCACCGTACGGTTCTGGGAGCCCTTCACTGCTATGCCCTAGGTGGACTTCACACTTCTGGGACAAATTAAGAGTGTCCTAGGGTTCTTGGATTCAACTCTTAAAAAGAAAAAAATCTATCTTCGGTTTTTCCTAAAATGTGTTTTAAGCATAAAAAATGCATAATACAAATGCACAGTTTAAGGAAATAATTCTACAGCAATCACATCATGTTCTTGATCACCCACATCAAAGCATCGCTGGCACCCCTAAACCTCCCCTTCCTCCTCCTCAGTGGTCCTAATTTATTCAACTAACCTGATCTGTTCTTCCGGTTTTAACATCATTTTCACGGCTGCAGAACTTCTGTGCAGAATTGTTCCCATTCTCTTGAATGCTTAGGTTGCTTGCACTATTTAGATGTTATAAATAATGCTGAGACAAATATTTGTTCACAAGGATGATTTTCTTAGGATAAATTCTCAGTACAGATGAGGAATTTTCAGCCAATAGCCATCTTCATTTTCAAGGTTCTTGGAATATATGGCCACAATTTTCCCCCAAAGAAAGAGTTTTGCCAATTAACCATCCATCGGCAGGTCAAATCAATAGGTGCCTACCCTGAGCCAGTCCCAGGGAATAAATGGCAGATCCATGTTTAAGTCTTGGTTTCATCACATCCTTGCCAGCATTGGGTTTTAGTTTGCTGAGATTAAAAAAAATCTAAGATTTGTTTTAGTTTGCATCTCTCTGACGTTAGAAAGGCAAAACTCCCACGTGTGTCTGCTTGCTAATTAGAGCATCTTCTAATTGTATGTGTGAACTGTCCATTTCTTGGGATATTGATGTTGACCTGACACACTTGGATGCATTCTTTATGTGGTAGAGATAGTTGCCCTTTGCCATTTTTGTGTGTTTTCAGAGCGAGTGAGACCTGGAATTCACGTGGTCCAAACTCCTTACCATGGGTTGAACAGTGTGCCTCCCCCCACACCCCCAACTCTGCCCCAAAGATATGTTCATTACCTAACCCTTAGAACCTGTGAATGTGACCTTATTTGGAAAAATAGCCTTTGTAGAAGTAATTGAGAGTTTGAGAAGTAGAGTTTATCCTGGATTATCTGAGTGGATCCTAAATCCAACGTAAGTGTTCTTTTAAGAGAAAGGCAGAGGGAGACTTGGGATAGGAGTGAACAGCAGCGATGGGAAGACGGAGGCAGAAACTGGAGTTCTACTGCCGCAAGTCAAGGAACACCTGGATTCGCCAAAAGCTGGAAGAGGCCAGGAAAGATTCCTCAAGGCTTTGGAGGCCCTTTCCACAAGTTGATGTCAGATTTCTGGCCTCCGGAACTGGGAGAGAATAAATTTCTGTTGTTTGAAGCCACCAAGTTTGTGATGCTTTGTTGCAGCGGGCCTAGAACAGGGACACAGCCACCATTTTGTAGGTGGGAAGGATATGAGGGCACAGGCTTATTCAGGGTAGAGTTGAGATCCTAATCCAGGGTTCTTTGTCTCCTAGGCTATGAGACCAGGTGGAACATTTTTCCCAAGATGCCTCTCTGGTGTGCAACTGAGACTTCCATGGGGAACTCTGAGGCTGTAGGAATGGAGTGGGTGAAGTGAGCTCACACTTTGTGAGCTCAGACCGCGAGTGCAATGACCGAGCCTCTAGTTCTGGCTGTGCCACTTATTAACCTTGTGCTCTCAAATGAGTTACATGTGGGCCTCCCAACAGTCTGAATAGCATCCTGTTGCTGCAGCTCCATGGTCTCTGCTTTGCGCCCTTGAGTTGTTGAGATCTGCAGACTGGTTTTACTCCATGGATGCTTTACAAGTGTTGCCTCTTTAGGGGTAGTGGCTACATGAACAGAAATTGTACCATACTTTCATTTCTATTTGGTTGCTACTTCTCTTGATGCTTTAACTGTTACTTATACCCATAAATTAGCTGGAGGGATTTGGGACTCACCACCCTACAACATGAAGCCTGTAGAAACTGAGTTCTTGGACGGGACAAGAAAAGACATGATTTCGTTTCTTTTTTGAGACACAGTCTCACTCTGTTGCCCAGGCTGGAGTGCAGTGGTACAATCTTGGCTCACTGCAGCCTCTGCCTCCCAGGTTCAAGCAATTCTCCTGCTTCAGCCTCCTGAGTAGCTGGGATTACAGGCAGGCACCACCATGCCCAGTTGATTTTTGCATTTATAGTAGAGACGGGGTTTCACTGTGTTGGCCAGGGTGGTCTCGAACTCCTAATCTCAGGTGATTCGCCCACCTCAGCCTCTCAAAGTGCTGGAATTACAGGCGTGAGCCACTGTGCCCGGCCAAGGCATGGATTTCTAAGTGCTGTATATCTGGGTATGGTCTCATTTAAGAATTCTGCAAAAAGATCTAGTGCTAGCTTGTCCACTGATAGACACTAGCACATGCAACTACGGAACGCTTGAAGTGTCACGAGTGTTACTGAGGAACTGAATTTCTCATTTGAATTCATTTAAAATAAAAAATACTGGCTGGGTACAGTGGCTCACACCTACAATCTCAGCACTTTGGAAGGCCCAGGTGGGAGGATCACTTGAGTCCAGGAGTTCAAGATCAACCTGGATAACATCGTGAGACCTCATGTCTACAAAAAATAGAAGAAAATTAGCTGGGGATGGTGGTGCACGCCTGTGGTCCCAGCTACTCAGGAAGCTGAGGTGGGAGGATTGCTTGAGCCTGGGAAGTCAAGGCTGCAGTGAGCTATGATGTCACCACTGCACTCCAGCCTGGGTGACAGAGCAACACCCTATCTCCAACAACAACAATAACAACAACAAACCCAATGCCAACAATTCAGTTACTAAAAAATTAGGGCCGTGGAGTGGGTGAAGTGAACTCACACTTCATGTGAGCACTTTGTTTGGAACAACGAATTCACATTTAACGTTTGCGAATCTGCCACTGCAAAATTTATGAAATCTAAATACAGATAAAGTATTTTCGATGAAAATTTAGCACCCAAATTGAGATGAGTAAGTGTTAAAGATATACCAGATTTTGAAGAGTTGGTATAAATAAAATAATGTAAAGTACCTCTAACATTTTCATATTGTGTCAAGATGATAATATTTTGGATATACTGGGTCAAATAAAATAATATTAAACAATTTCACCTGCTTCTACCATTTACTTGCTCTGTGGTTTTGGGCAATTCCCCTACAGTCTCCAGGCCTCCGTTTCTCCTTATCTAAAGTCACTGCGTGGAAAGGTCCTTTGGGCTCATCTCAGGCTGTGGCTGAGGGAGGATGAGGACACTTAGTGGGAGGGGTAGTTCTCCAGCCATACTGTAAGGCTGGGTCTTGGGAGGCCACAGCCCCTAGCACAACAGGAATGCCCACCCCTACCCCTAGCAGGAGGGTTCATCTTCCCAGGGCTTGAAAGTAAGATTTACTTGACACACACTGCCTAAGAAGTGGCTCTGAGCTTGGTCTGTTGGTTCTGTCCAAGGCACTAACAACCACATCCTTTTAGCTTCTTGAGCCCTTCCTTCCTCTCCACTGAGTGCTTCTGAGCTGGGCGGGGCTAGGACCTGCCCTATCCTCTGTCCCTGGACTCCAGAGCTCTGCCTTGGACCTGCCTGAGTAAGGGAGCAAGTAGAGGGGCCTGCCCTGCTCTTCTCTGGGCTTTCCCAGTCTTCTCCAGGCAGCTGGAGGGGTGGGGATGAGGGCAACAGGGGACAGGAGCTTCTAGGATGGATACTTGGGCTTCCAGGCTGGAGAATTGTGCTGGGTTGGGAGGATCAGTGTGAACTTGATCCTGTCCAGTCAGCGAGGGGCCCTGGGCAGCTTGCGTGTGTATGTGTTGGGGTGCGGGTGTGATCAGGGCTGTGTGAGATGAACGGCAGAGGCTCTGCAGAACAGCAGAGGCGGGAGATGTCTCTGATCTTGATCACTTAATTCCACATACCTGGGGCTGCCTGAGATACGGTGCAGCTGTTTTCTGTCGTGCTGCTATGCAGACCAAGCTACAGAAGAGCCTGCCACCACTGAGTACCTGTTATGGGAAAGGTTCCGCGAGGCGAGCTTTACCCACCTGCCATCATTGAATCTCCGTGGTAACCCAAGAGAGGAAAGGCCCCATAGAGAAATGCCCAAGGCTGCAGAGCTGGGAGGGGCAGAGATCGGATTTGAACCCAGCTCTGTCTGATATCAAGGCTCGGGGTCTTGAAGACAAGTTGCTCACCCAGGATGCGGTGGCTCACGCCTGTAATCCCAGCACTTGGGAGGCCCCAGGCGGGTGGATCACTTGAGGCCAGGAGTTTGTGACCAATCTGGCTAACATGATGAAATCCCCTCTCTATTAAAAATACAAAAATTAGCCTGGTGTGGTGGCACGCACCTGTAATCCCAGCTACTCAGGAGGCTGAGGCAAGAGAATCGTTGGAACCTGGGAGCAGAGACTGCAGTGAGCCGAGATCGCGCCATTGCACTACAGCGCGGGCGACAGAGTGAGACTACATCTCAAAAAACAAAACCAAACCACACACACACACAACACAAACAAAAAACAAGTTGCTCACCCTTAGCTGCACATGTCCTCAGAATTGGTTCGCGATAACCCCAGTGTCATTGGCTTCAGGGATGGGAATCGGGGAGGGGTGGGGCTGGTCCAGGTCCTGGAGCAGAACCAGGCCTGGAGCCCAGGTGGCGCTGAGTTCGCTCTGCCCCTGACGCCAGTCCCTGGACCCTGCGGTGTGTGTTCCCAGGGCGGGCAAGAAGGCCCTTAGAG